AGAGATCTAATACAAAGATAGGTGTTCGGCTAAGGTCAAAAAAAATATAATAGTACAGGAGAAGGTTATTATTATATATAGGAAAGTTATTAAAATTTATGATACTCCCCACAAACATCCATCACCGAAATTCGTATGCTGCCATGGATTCCTCTTTAGATTATAAATCATTTAGTTTCTGATAAATCTACACACAAATTTTTGGTTTAGCGAATTTGGCTTATTCTGTCTTACACAAAGATTTGAATCGTGTCTTACATGGATGCTGATATGAAATGTCTGATTTTTTTCGACTGTTTCTCCTAACAGCTTAAAATGACATTTAACGGGTGGTAGGAAAAAAGTGGACGATTCAAAAGAATTGTATTATGCATCCTGTTGTAATAAAGATTTTTGTATTTAATTAAATTTTTCGCTTACTGTTGGCCAACTTTGTACCGCTATTCTTCTAAACTGACTTCAAATAGGAAGAGGTTCTCAATTGGGCTAAATATTTTTTTTTCTGTTTGTTAAGCGATTTCTCTGTCAATTCAGGGCCGATTGTCATATTTTTTTATAATAGCAAGGGTATTCCTTTCGAGTTACAAAATAAGTTGTGGAACGGAACGCTTCGTAGGATCATGGCAGAATAGTTGTAATAAGTAACTACCGGCCGCCCGCGACTTCGTACGCGTGGATTTAGTTATAAATAAAGGTTCACTGCTTGTTCCCCGTAGGTGATAGCGTGATAATATGTAGCCTATGGGTGAATATACGCTATTGGGAATTTTCTTGGCCCACTTGAAAAAACTTACCATTTGATTTCAAATTCATTATTTGATGAGGAAATTAACTGTTTTATTGGTATTTATAAGGGCCAGAAGATATTGAATGGTTTTACAGGTTTATGGCTTCCAGGGGAAAATTCAGTGTCAGGGGTGTGACATTACTGACAGAGTAGTGACAAATACAACCAAGGGAATGACTGGCTAGTAACAATTAGTTAGGAAACACATTTAGATACATTGAAAAGAAAGACGGATTAATTGTTTTTTAATAATTTTATTAAGTTTGAACTTCAATCAGTCTTGCATTACAAAATGTTTTCTTTTAATAAAATTAGTAGCATGATATTATATCCCTAGTATTAGAACAAATAAAAATATGTTTTCTTAAGAAATTTTACTTATCAGTCTTTTCCGACATAATATTAATAGTACTTAAGTACCTAATCTTATAATCACAGTAATTGTTTGGAGATCACTATAATAAAAACTCTACTTATAAATAAAACCTCACTGAATGTAATTATATAATTAACAAATAAACCCTATCTTACAACAAAACTTAAAAATCCTTTTCCTTACAACAAAATATTATTTCTTTAAATTTTAATGAGAACTAATCACAAATTACTTTTCAAAAACATCAACAGGCTTTTGAAACTTGTAAAACATTCTGTTACCTTTCATTACTATGTTTGGAACAGGTAATATTGTCAAAATTTCTTCCCATATGACATCAGATACATCGTTATCATCTATTTTAAAAAGAGTACCTTTATCATTACAGATCTTTAGAAAAGTAACACGAATATCATCTTCATCATCAATAAAATCAGATGAACATACACCAGCATATCTGTATTTTTTGCCATTTATCTCATATTTTACAAGCACAAAATCTCCGTTCTTAACAACTTTTGCATCACTATTTTTTACTTTCTTCTCATTATCATTCTTCTGATTCCGTTCTATATTTTCCTCCAGTTGATTTTGGATAACTTCACAAAATAATAATTTCCTTTTTACTATTTCTACGTTTTCTTTACTGTTGCTCTTTAAAGGTTCATTAACCTTCGATTTTGGGGTCATTTTCTTTTTTTGGATACGCCTTAGCTTCCGTTGATAATCATGTACCTTTTGACGTCATCTTCTTATTTCATTTTTCTGTTTATTAATAACTCTATTCCTTTGTTTACGTTGCCTTTATGATCGTCTTTTATCAGCTAATGCCACATCATTCTGTGGATTCGATGTTGTTCTTCATTATCTGACGAAGGCGGTGTTATCGGACAATTTCTAGAAGATTGTTGCTTTATGCGATGTCTATGCTTTCTAGTCTTCTCTCTCCATGTTTTTTCTAATAGGCCTTTGCTCTCTTTCATATCCTTCATGATTTTAATTTGTCCTTTCTCCTTTTTTTTTTAAATAATTAAGCTTTTCTTGGTCTTTTAACTTAGCATTTTTTATTGGATCACTTTTCATTCTTTGATAGCGCAATCTTTCAGCCTGACGCTTTTTTTCAAACCTTTCTTCTCTTGTTTGCTTTTTTTTCGCATTCGCCATGATGTCGTCGCGTAAGTAAAACCTACAGCAAACTAAAACAAATGAAACTAAATGTTAAATCAATTTGTTATTTAAATCAAATCATTTAATTTAATTTTCGTCACTACCCTGGTTCGTTTGTATTTCCCCTGGCACTTAAACTGCCAGAGAAGTGACGCCAGTGGGGTGACAAAATAACATATAACCCAAAAAATATACACAATGCAATCTTTATACTGAAATAATACGAAATACAGGCCATCTACTCATTTGTAACAATACATTGAATAATTAATGTCGTACATAATAGTGAAATATAAAAATATGTACTCACCAGGGGAAATTCGGCAACGACTGGCACAAACACGTTGTTCACCGGTGAATCGGGCACTGACCTAACATTATTTCAAATTTGGACGCAGTGTTGCCAACACGGATTTTGAAAAAGGCGTAGGCCCGATGAGAAAATTATGTAGAATTGGTAAATTTTGCATATGAAAAGTACGTAGATCTACGTACTTTTTTCTGAGTGAAATGAAGAAGTTAGGTGAAACCGAATGAAACGAGTATTTTGTTATACAATTTCTGTAAAAACGAGAGATAGAACAAAGAGTTGCGTTCGACCAGCTGTCTCAGAGTAATATGCATTGGAAGCATTAACCATGCTGTGGTAGACATTTACCATCAGACACAGACACTGGTGGGTGTCGATTCTCTAAATTTAAAACTAAATTTAACATCAGTCTCTCCTTTTCATTCTGAATTGAGAATGACAAGGATACACTGTTGTTCAATAGGCTAGTTGACACTTTTTGGAATTATATTTTAAATTGTTAATAATTGTTCTATCAGACCAAAAAAATGTATTTTTTTTTTAACTAGAAAGCTACTAAACTTTAATTTTAAAATAGATTTTGCATGGACATACAAAAACGCTATTTAGTCTATAGACTTATCTATGCTATGACGTCAAAACATTTGTAAACCAACACTCGCAAGCACGTAGGAAATAAACTTTCTGAGTTAATATTATAAAACCACGATCACATGAAAAATATAGTAGTTATCATGATACACTTGGTAAAAGACTCTAGAAAAGTTGTGATTTAAATTGCCAAGAGAAATAAACATAGCTACACATGAACACATGTTTAAAACTTGCTAAATCCTGTAATTTTATCGACTGAAAGTCATTTCTTTTTGCAAAGATTAATTCGATGTAAGTACTCATTGAATAATATTTAAAGTTTAAAAATTCAACATTAAAGGTTATGAATGTACCTACTAAGTCAAAGAGTTTTGTCGTTTCTCCTTTCACAAATCCTGCGTACAGCATTAATTTCGTCAACAAAACCACTAACGGGAACCTTTTCTACAAGATACAAGAGTTTTTAGATACATCTTTATAAGAAATAAACATTTGTATAGTTTTTAAGTAAAGTAACGGAAAATATTCTTCTTTATTCTAGTGAATTAAGTTATTTTACAAATTTGAAAAAAATAAAGAAAATACGTAGATTCTGGGCCTCAAGTTAGTAGGTTTGCAGAAAAGGCCTAAAATACGTAGATCTACGTAAAAAGACGTAGAGTTGGCAACACTGTTTGGACGACGCCATTGGCTTGTACCTAACTTCACTCTGTCCGACGCGCGTTACTCAAGACCAATGAAGCGTGTACGCGGTTTTTGAGGGAAATTTTGAAATTCAAATTGAGCCAGAGAAGGTGACACTTTTTTAAGCGTCGGAAAAAGATGTTTTTTTAAACTAATAATTATTTTGTTTTATTCTGTTTTTTAAAAACAAATATTTTGTGTTGTTTGTTTAGTTACAATATTACATTTCAAAAAACTATGTACTGGTCAAATTATAAAAAATATTCCGATAATTATAGTAAAATGTATGTATGGGGCCAGCCAGGGGAGTATACATTTAGTACTATTTTCCCTTATTGTAAACAAAATGATTAGGTTTCTGAATAGAATACTATGTGGAACAAATAAAATACACTATTATGTATTAATTAACATATAAAATAACAACAATTTGATTAATTTAATATTTTTTTATTCAAAGGCCATCAAAGTACCCAATAACGTATAATGACCCCTATATGTTGACCTGACTTCTTAGTAATATTCGTGCCAAATTTGAAGTAAATCCATGCAGTACTTTTTGAGTTTATCCACAATATACACAATACATAAATACAAACAAACAGACAAAAATTCTAAACTATATTTTTGGTTTCGGTATCGATTGTAGATCACACCCCAAATATTCTTTTAAAAAAATATTCTTTGTACAGTTTTGACTTTCCTACCATTTTATTATAATTATGTATAGATATTGCTTTGTTGATACATGCAGTCGATGGCTTATCACTAACGAGGAAGAGTGCCACGGGGCGGAGGGTTGTTACGTCGTCCCTCCTTCTTTCTATCAGTTTTAAACATAGTCGCTTCCTCACCGGCTCGGCGCGTCGGACATATTTACTTTTGGGCACCTAACCGTGCTACAATCAAGCCCACTGGTAACTTAAACTTCAAACGAACCTGAAAAATATATGAGAACGACCGAAGACTTTTGACTAGGTAAACAGGTTACGGGAAGTGCAACGACGCACTCAAAGACTTCAGCGTTGTTTTTTAATAAATAGTGAGGGATTGATGATGATGTTTCTTATATTTCAGTTCAAATGGTGCGCTCCTTGAAGTCCGGCAACAAATTAGTTGCAGTATACGGAAAGTTCGTTTACGGCAAAAGGAAAGATCTGAAGATTGGTAGCCGTTATTTGTGCACTAGTTCCAGAGCCAGAGATTGCAAGGCTTCTATAATAATACACGAGGGGAGGGTTATCAAAGTGTACGATACTGCTCACAGTCATCCACCTCCAAGCTTCATATGTAGGAAAGGAATCCTGTATACAATTTGAATCATTTATATTTTATAACTCGTTAAACAAAAATCAAATCAAAAATATATTTATTTTCCATCACAACAGAGATCCTAGTTTCTCTTGTTTTGCAATTACAATGTTGTGGCTCCTCTATTTGTGATGAACTGGTGCATAAAATATGTTTCATTAATAGAAACCTGTGCTACAGGTCACCAGGGGGCCATTCGCCTAACGGAAATGCTTTGGAAAACGCTAACGCTTACGATTTTATTTTGTTATTTCTAGCCGCCTGAGGTTTTCAAATGCCTCTCGCTGTTTTTTTTCTTTTGCATTGGTAATAACAACAATATTTAAAAAAATAAGCGTGAGGTATTTGAAAACAGGTCAGAAATAACAAAATAAAATCGTAAGCGTTAGCGTTTTCCAAAGCATTTCCGTTAGGCGAATGGCCCCCAGGCCCAATCACAGATAGCATTACTTCCACGATTATTACAATAACTTCGGACAGTTAAAATATGTGCCATTTCTAACATAATGTTATAAGTCTTCTTAAAGATAGTTCAACTGGCACTATTACCCGTTTCAATATATTTTTTCATTGGATATATATGTAGTTGCATTCCATCAAATAAAAGGTATTTCCATACTAGTTTAGTCTGGGTGTTTATACATTGTCAAGTATGGTGTTTGTTTTACAAATTTAATTGTGCATGTACGCAGCCAGATATGATCTACAATTAAAAGAAAAGATTTCCGTCCACGTCACGCTGTTGTTACCCTGCTACAGGCGAACTTGTTTAAATGCAAGACCCAGCTGTAACTAAAAGAAAAAATAAATGACCTGTGCGTATCTTTTATCCATTTATACTTCGAAGGACCAGCAAAATATCTTCTTGAACGGTCAGTACTTCGCAAAACTACTTCTTGTTCTATAAACGGCCTGAAATTTGGTCAGGACTAAAAATCCATGTTGTTTCCAGTGGAATTCATCAGGACAGGAGCTGGTAGAAACCTAGCTATATTAAACGGGTACACATATGGAAGGCAGTGCCAGTTGAGACAAGGCGAGCGGTGGCGGTGTACCGGTCGCTCGGCTCGACAGAAATGCAATGCCTCATTTATGTTAGACGAAATGGGTACTTTAATTAAGTCTAACACCGTTCACACTCATAGCCGCCCAAGTTATGATTTTGGAATTGGGATATATGAGTACAAGGACAAAGACGTTAGCCAAAGCCCAAACCTTGATATCTATGTTAAAGGGGATGCGGTCACAAAATCAGACATGCACTCAGCAGGTATAATTGGTTTTTTCTTGATTACTTGCATTACATACCCTTTATACAAAACAGAATAAGCTCTTAGTTGCAATTCCAACTTAGAATCGAAATCTGCGGTATATTTTTTATTGGCACACTTATAACTTGAGAGCTTCTACTGCCTTAAGTGGGAGGAGCAGCAGTTTAAACTACTTCTTCTCAGACTTCCATTAGAATTGAATCGGGTTTTGAAAATTCGACATGTTACTTTAAATTTTGTCAACAATGAATATGCTCCAGAGATTTAGAAATCAGCTAATAATTGAAACATCTATAGGTAAACCGATTAACTGAGACCTCGCCTGCGGGGCACAGAGTGTGGGGGAGGACGAGAATGCGGGCCGTGAGAGGTGGGTGTGACGGGCACTTGTAATTTTGACAAGATAGTGCCTGCCGCCCGCACCTCTCACGGTCCCCTTTTTACCCTTCACCTAGCAAGCGAAGACTCAGTTAAGCGGTCTACCTATAGCAGTTAAATGCTTAAACGAATAAAAACATAACAGTTAAGTCAGTCAGACTCTTCCGCACCACACATTTTTTTAAGATATACGAGCACCTTTAAGAGTATCATAATTTTATTTATTATATTTACATATTAATATTTAAATTACAAAAACTTAAAACTACTAATTGTCTAAAAACTTAAAATCAGTTTTAACTACTTAAATAATATACAACCTACTAAATAAGAGTATGAGCTGACATTCAGTGATAAAAAATATATATGGAAAATACCAAGGCCATTTTTCACTAACGTTAGTAGATGATTTCCGTTAGTCATAAGCATTGATTCGTTCTAGGCACGCCTCGTTATATTCGCAACGAACGCGGTACCATTTACATACTACTCGACGGTTATACGTACGGGAAACATACGGCTGTGAAGGCGGGACATCGTTGGCAGTGCACAACGAGGAACACCTGCATAGCATACTTGATCATCACCGAAGATGGAACTGTGCTGAAAAGAACTAATCATACGCACGCACCGCCGGAGTACTTTGTCAAAAACGACATATACATAAACCTCGGTGGGACAAGGAACAGCAGTTAGATCACGCTACATCCAAAAAAAACAGATCAAGCATCACTTTGTGGTCCTAGAAATTGTCAAAGTATTGGAGTTCAGGTTTTTATCACTAAGCACGAGATATGCGTTAAAAATCTATGTTATAAAAGCAAGCAGTGTGGAGAAAAGTTCTATATTTATACGAGGTATAGATTCGTTTAATAATGAAAAAGCTAGAAAACTACATTGTAATTATAGAAATGATCATGGATTCATTATTATTATATTTGTTTTGTGTTTTGTTTTGAGAGAATCTAATAAAATAATATAATCATATGTATCACTTGATTTTAATATTACAAAACCTTGAAGTTTAATGAAAAACCTGCGGCTTGTAACCGCCGTAGACGTTCAAGTAATTTGATCACCACACAGGCTGTTTAAAACAGTTTGGTCAAATAGTGAAAATTCATATATCTTTATGCCAATTGGCGGCTCTTTTTGATCAAAAATTTCTACACATGTGCCATTATTTTATGTTGTGCCAATTGTGCTAATGATCAAATTGTTTGAACTAGCTTGTCTGATCAAATTACTTGAATTTCTATGACGGCTATTAGACAATATTTCTGTTTTATCAAACGCTAATGATAAACTTTGAAATATTCAAAATAAGCAAGAAACTATTCAATTACTTGTTCATTGTGGGACCTTATTTATAAAATATTCGTTATTTTATGGGATTGACACCGATACGTTATAATATGTTATACTTTAGAAGTCAACGTTAGTATGAAATAGAATGGTTCTCGTACCGGAGTCTAGAGATAGTTCAATTGGCACTATTACCCTCTTCAATATAATTTTTCATCGTAGGTATATAAAGTTGCGTTCCATCAAATAAAAGGTTTTTTACATACAAGTTGGTTCTGGGTGTTTGTACGTTGTCAGGTATGATCTAAGTTTTTTTTACAATATTAACTGCCAGATATGATCTACAATTAAAAGAAAAGATTTCCGTCCACGTCACGCTGTTGTTATCCTGCTACAGGCGAAATAGTTAAAATACAAGATCCAGCTAAAACTAAAAGAAAAAGTAAATAAACTGTGCGTATCTTTTATCCATTATACTTCGAAGGACCAGCAAAATATCTTCTTGTACATTAGTACTTCGCAAAACTTCTTCATGTTCTTTAAACTGCCCGGAAGGTGGTCAGGACTAAAAATCCATGTTGTTTTCAGTGGAATTCATCAGGACAGGAGCTGGTAGAAACCTAGCTATATTAAACGGGTACACATATGGAAGGCAGTGCCAGTTGAGACTAGGCGAGAGGTGGCGGTGTACCGGTCGCACAAGTCGGCAGAAATGCAATGCCTCATTTATATTAGACCAAATGGGCTTTATAATTAAGTCTAACACGGTTCACACTCATGGCCGCCCTAGTTATGATTTTGGAATTGGGTACATAAGTACAAGGACAACGACATAAGCCAATGCCCAAACCTTAATATTTTATTACGGTAAAACTAACCAGTAATTCGTTGGGTAATGCGGGAGTAGAACTTTGAATCTTGGCTATAACTAAATCTTGAAAAACAAAACATTTACACTAATGTGTAGCCAAAACTTTCTTGGGCGTAAATATATAAATAAATCAATGAAAATTACTTTGGAAAAATGTCCTCGGCACATTCACCTTCCAGCAGATTCAAGTTACAGTTACAGGTTTCAGTCAGGTTTTTTTATAATTTCAGAATTGACCTTTGTGTAAAAGTGGTTCATATAAGTATTTGCACAGATAATTTTTGTTTAGGAAACGCGAAAGCTCTCACCCCTGCAGAAAAGGCTAAAAAACATAGAGAGAAACTAAAAAACGATCCTAAAAAGTTCTTAAAGTTTAAAAAGAAACATGCGGCCCTAGTAAGACTTAAAACAAAGAAAATAGGGGAACTGAATGAAGAAGAAAAAGAAAAAAGACGCCGAGCATGGAGAGATCAAAAACGAAAGCAAAAGAAAATAAAAACACATAATATCCTCTTGAACGTCAGTACTAATGGCTTATACAGTAACATCGACCTTAAAACAAAACCTTAATTGTTTTGGGGTAATTTTTAATGGAGTTATTTGTTGTTGAGTTAATGAGTAACTATTTCAAAATAGTGTGAATAAAGACATTAAAAACCCTAAAATCTACCAATCCCATCTTTCTACTTCGTAAGATGAATATTCCATTGACTAATTGTCCTTTTGAAAAAGTATTTAAAAAATGTATATATTTGTAAGACTTTGTTTAATGCCAATTGGATCTCATTTTAGTAGTGTGTTTTCAGTAATTAAATTAAAATGTTGTTTTTGAACACATGGTTTTAATTTCCTAAGTATGCAGGATATGTTTATGATTTTGTGAGATAGATGATTTAAAGATAGTATAAAATAACCCTGTCTGCGCGTCGAGCTTCGCGCTCTTGCATTGCGCAGCCGGGTAAAAAGTAGTTATTTAAAAACCTTATTACAAAGTCTCTGATTATATTACAGACAAAAATGCTTGGATTTGAACTGTTCCAATCATTCCAACGGGATTTCTATATTAAATAAATCATTATTGTATTGACGTTGTAACAACATAATGATTTGTAAATGTTGTTACATTAGACTTTTAATGTTGTGGAGTTTTTTTCGCTCGTTTTTCTCCGCAGCTAAAAAATATGTCAATAACGAGTGGTAGGGAAAAAAAAAATTTGGACGATACAAAAGAGTTGTACTATACATCCAATTGGAATAAAGATTATATTGATTTCTGATTTCTGAGTCGAGGGTAACATCTATTCCTAGATTTCTTTTATTAAATAGTTTACCAATAATTCATAGTTTCATTCAGTAATCATATATGTTTTACGTTTTTAATAAACTTAAGACTTTGCAAGGTTCTGATATAGAAAGGTTATTTTTTGCAATAAAATCAATTCTTAAAATGTAAGATCAGCCGATTTGTTTCCTGAACCACCATTAATATGCTATAATTTGCTATAATGCTTATTTTGTTACAACCATTTCAAAACAATGAGGTAGACTTTCACTTAAATGAACGTATCACTGGAAACATCCTTGTTTTTTTTTTTAACAATCATATTTCCTATTTCATAGCCCTCGTCCTATCATTCATTTATTTAGTGTTTTGCCCATGGACAATTATAAGGCTCTCCCTATTAGTTTACCAACGTTTTTTATAATGTCAAGAAATAGAAAGAGTTTCTGTTGCATTTAGGGATTTAAAAATCATTTCCAGTTACTATTCTAAGTTTATCTATAACATAATCTATTACTTTTATAATTAAGGTCAAGTTTTAAATACTTTTGATCCATTTTTACAGTGTTTTGATTATTAGAAGATCCTGAGTGCAATTACGCATTCTCTACGAAGTAAAACCTGTGCATTTGACATTTTTAAGCGTAAAATTTATACGTAACGTTACAGGTATTTACGTACAAGTGGGTCAGGAATCAATTCGTTCCATCGTACAAACTTTTAAAAATCCATCACTAGGTAGAACTTTTAAAAAACTCTCCTACTTTTATCATATTTATAGGTATTCACGTATTTTCTAATCTGCTTCCTGAACAAGAGCTCTTTATTGTAAATTATATTTCAATTAAAATAAGCATAAAGAAATATAGTTAGTCTTTACTTCGTTTTCTATGAAACTGGCTATGATAAATAACAGTTAAATTACAAAAATATTTTTATAGCGCAAGTGCTACACTAAGAATATTCTTAATCGTGACAATGATGTTTAATTTGTGCCATCGGCGGATTAACCGTGAGTTGCAGAAATTGTTTTAAAAAAATCTAAAATCTGTTTAGCAATCAGCAATGATTTACTAATAAAATCAGTAACTTGGTTAATTATTGTGGACAACAGTGGTCCTGGATGAAATACTTTATTTAACTAACATTGAAAAATATTCAAGTCTTATAAGATAGCACTAATTCATAGAAATATATTAATTAATCGATGTAGTAAAGTGTAAGAGGAACTAGATAGCAACGGGGTAAGCTGATGTGTACCTGATGCGTGCGATATTTTTTGCAAATCTATCGATTAGATTGTGTTCAGGGGATGTACTCTTGAAATTGATGTAGGTACTTTGTCGAGTCGTGTCTCACTTGTAACTTAGAGTAGGATACAACGAACTGACACAGTACCTCCTCGTATTCCCGAGAAGAACCAATATAACACAAAACGTACAGTATGTACCTACTATATTTAAGTAAAATATTGGACATGCTTTATAACAGAATGTTATTTAAATGTAATAATATGTGGGTCCTGTTGCTTTTTAGCATTTATTATTAGTTGGTATTTCATATTTGTATTATTTTTCATTTAACCAAAAAATAATGAACCATCCCAAATGGTCAACTGTTTCATTAATCCGAGTAGATTGGATTTATGTACTAAGCAGAAGTAAATTCTCGAGTAAACATTTGTCTCTCTTTTACAGTATATATTATCAAAACAAATAATGGCAGACACCTGGTCTTACTCAACGGTTTCACCTATGGCAAACACTATATGTTGGAGATTGGTGCACGCAGATGGCGCTGCTCCATGCATGCCTCCAGGAACTGTCACGCTCATCTCATTATCAACCGCTACGGTTACATAATCAGACGCAACGAAAAGCATACGCATCCCCCATCGCAGTATTTCAAAAAACCCGATGGTTCCTTTATTAGAGTATAGTTTAATCAAATTTGATCTTTGTATAAATTGTTGCCCAATTTGCAGTTATTCTATTGTAACTACTATTATAATATTATTAAAATAATGAATTGTTTTTATATAATTATATATTTTTTTGAAACGTAAGGTTTCGTGTGTTTAAATATACTTACTATTATAAAGTGTTGCGAAAACAACCTACGCAGATTTGCATCACAATATAATAATAATTTGCTGTAGATTTATAAACCTTTGCCTATTAATATAGCCTTCACTCAATAAACGATACAAAAATGAAATTAGGTACTTTGAATTTCGTAAACTTCTCTGCTCCAAAAATTGTATTGTTTTCTAAAGTTGTCTGCATTGGTATTTATGTTTTACAGCTAATTTTATTAGGACACATAATGGCAAGTTCCTGGTTATGCTCAACGGATTTACTTATTGCAAACACTACATGTTGAAGTTCGGTGCGAGGCGATGGCAATGTTCTATGCATGCTTCCAAAAGTTGCTACGCTCACGTCATTCTCAACAAACAAGGCAAGATCATCAGACGGAACGAAGATCACACACATCCGCGCTCACGATACTTTCAAAACTCTGACGGGTCCTATATAAGAATATAATTATTGTATGTTTTTCTTTAAAGCATATCAGAAGAATAAATAATAACATCGTCAGGAAACTTTAGACGTAATCTTGTATATTATTTTTATAAACTCAATATGTCAATTGCACGGCACGATTCGTATTGGGATCTGCATTTATGATAAGACTTTTGTAATAATTCATTGGGCAATATTTTTTTTATCAAGCTTTACAACAAGCAAATATTATCTTCCATGTTCTAATTAGAAGACAAGTGATTGTTTTTTTTTACTCTTCTTAAAAAAGTGAATAGTTAGTAATATTGCGCTCTAGCAGTTATTATACAAAATTTGCCTTTGTTTTAAAATTTAACCTGTCAAAAGATTGTGTAATTTATTTTTGGTAATTATAAAAAGACTCGTTGTTCATATTACTTATATTTATAAAAAAGTATTATTCTGTAATATCCAGTTTTATTGATTAGTAGATGCTTGATATATGCAGATCCTTTTTAACCCAAAGAAATCAATTTATCTTGTACTAAAATTGATTAACGAAATATATTATAAGTGGCAGCATCATGACGCAGTTAGAATTGTTTGCGTTAGATTCATGCAATGTTTATTTTGGTTACTGGTAGTTAACATTTTATTGTTTTCAGTACTTCTGGTTAAGGGCCGTAACGGGAAGGATCTGTTGATGCTAAATGGTTACACATACTATCAGCACAAGATCCTTAGGGATGGATTCCGTTGGAGCTGCACGCAGATGGGATCCAGATCGTGCAGAGGTTTCCTCCACGTCACCAACGAGAAGTTGGTCGTGAGAGCGCACACGGAACACACCCACCCGCCGTCCACTTACTTTTTGCATCACATCAAAAAGCAATTGAGAGAGGTAGATACGTCAGCATATAATTATTAACAATTGCTATTTTCTAAAAAAACACGTTAAGAGTTCCCTTAATTCTAATTAATCAAAGAATAAATCCTAGTCTTTCAAAAATTAAAGATAAAATTTTGACGAGTAACTTGGTTGAATCTTTTTGTCGTTTAAAATTAACAAATGTGTGTGTTCTTTTTCAGACTAGGAGGTCCAATGATGCTAAAGAAAGTAAAGGAGGATTGAATCCGTACTCCTTCAAAATATCCAATATTCAAAGCCGCACCGAATCCTAATCGACAGTTCGAAATTAACTTGCGAGCCTTATATTTCATATTTAGGAAATGCCAGCAACTTTTACTGGTTCAAATACAGTCTGTAATATTACAGTCACCAGTGCAAATGAATGTTTTGATAGTGGTATATTTACTAACAATATTGTTTGAATTATTATTGTACATTGATTACATAATTAATGTAATCTCTGAAGATGTAGATATTATAATAAGTATAAACAAAACATGCTTATAGTACGTTACTGCAGCCGCCAGCAAAAGAGGCATTGATGTACGAACGTGTAAATGTCATTTCATTATTTGAGAAAAGTAATATACAAGCCTTTGCCACAATTAGGCATTGATGGACTTACTTCCACGATCGTTCATCAATGCCTTTTGCTGGACGCTGCGTTAATGTACTAAGTCTCTAACTGTTGTGTATCAACTGTTAAACCAATTACAGTTGACGCTTATTTCAAATGGTACTGCTTTATTTATAAGGTTTCGCCAGAATACTACTATCAGGTTTATGTGTTATGTATTCTGGTGGTATATATTAAATATAAAATCATCATATAAAATAAATAAAGAGTTCGCACAAGTTCCAATTGTATTGATAGATAACGATAGTTAGAATGTAGAAATATCGCGTGTTATAGATGATACATAGATATATTTACATTTACTGCTTAAATATGATAGTCTTCGTAGTCTTTATAATAATGAATTGATATTGCCTCGTATACTTACACACCAAATTTTTAAAATCACTTCTAAATTTACGGTTTAAACTAAATTACGTAAATATTTACTAAGGTCTTTATATTTTTAATAAGCTTTCTCATTTTATAGCGTTGCTACAATGTGATACACATTCCTCAAAAATAAGAAAAACATGACTTTAAGAAATATTTGAGTATTTGTTCGTTGGAAGAAATGTTCAGGTTTTTTTTAATAATTTTAATTATCATCTTACTTTAAATCGCAATAATATAATATTTTATCAGATTTTTTAACTTATTTTTTAATATTTTTTATTTTTCCCATCGAAATTATGTATGTTAAATATTTCTGGGGTTTAAATCTATTTTAAATCTACCGTACCATCAAAAGCTTAAGCGATGTATATTTTATCATAGTACTTTACTATTAAACTTTACGACACTTGTTTGCCTTGTTTACTAATTTAGAAATCCTTATACCCTTTTATTTCAATATTTGCTTATTTTAATTATCGTATTATGTTACCTTAGATAAAATGTTGTTTTGATTACATTTAATCTTCATTTTATCTATTCAAAATGGTTTTGTGTCATTATATTTTGTGTGATGTAGTTCTTGATTATTAATTTTTATTTTATTTTGGTATATTGTTTTGTTCAACAGTGGAGTTTTACCTGCGTCCTAACGGTCGTGTCAATCTTCGCCTCAACGACTTCACTTTTTACAAGCACTTGAAGGCAAGAACAAATGCTTGGCGCTGGAGTTGTACTGCGTATGGCTCCAAATGGAAATGCAAGGCTCATCTCATCATTACTGACAAGCTCGAAGTCCTCAAAGCTATTATAAACCATAGTCACCTGCCATCCCGAAAGAAGGCTGATATCACAACTCACGCTCAACACCCTATAAGTCAAACTAAGTTGAAAATCCTTACTCGGAATCAGCTAAATGATTCAGCTGGAAATGGAAAAAATCAGGCTCTCAAAGAAAATACTGTAAATGGTCACAGTGTTTTAAATCCTTACCAAGATCAAATCAATCCACATATTAAAATGGAAACTAAGATAGAAGATGTCCGATCTTTATTAAGTCATTCTATAAGTCCTTTGCAGGACTATTTGGTCGCTCACAGCGTATTTACCGACTACTGAGATTAGTGATTACCTCTTTATGCATCACATACTTAAGTTACAATGACACCTTTATCATATTTTTTAGTTAACACTAGTTATCGATTCTCTACGTCGAGCTTAATTTGAACGTTTTCAGTTTCTTTATCATGCATGTAGATAACGTAAACAACAAGTTTTAGGAATTATGAAATAAGCAATTTTTTCGACAACAACTGTCAAGCCTCACTGTGGTTGCTAAAACTTCCTCTCTATTTTGTTTATATTAACATTTGAATTGTAATAACTGTTGAAGATTATTCTTAAATAATTTGATTGATGGTGAGTGGTGCGATTGTAATGCGCCAGGAGGCATCATCACGTCGCCAATTTATTACAATACATGCGGCAGAATAAGTCCTCGTAGTACGTTTTTGAACCAAGTCAAAAAGAGCATCTAAAGAATAATAACTTCAATCGGGAGCCTGTCGTAGTTCCTAAAACTTTTTGACTAAGTTATGTATTTTGATATTATCTACTATGTGACATTTTACTCACAAGTGCCGTGATCAGGAACGAAAATTTATATACTGTAAAATAATAATAATATCATTCAACTAACAATGTTTTGATAAATTTGTAGCGTTAAGGCTGATTTCCGCCAGGGTAACACTTTGCGTCATTGCGGCATACCAGAAGGTCGCATGCTACAATAATTAAAAATATCGCACATTGGGCAGGAATCGTACGACATGGCGACGCGGTGAGTTACATGCGAAATTTTTAGTGCGCCAAATCAGTTTGTAGGCTAAGTTTTAAGTGGTGTTAAGAAAAATATTTAAATTTCATTAAGGATTATAGATGGATTGAAATGTTGTAAGATGCGCTATTCAAATTATAGAAGTGAAACGTGATGTTTTACTTTACCTTGCTCAAAATACGATTTAGATGAAGAGAATATCAAAAATAAAATAAAGAACCTCATAGGCGCATTACACCACAATTCTTTGAAAATGATCTAGGTACGATATTACCTCGGAAAAAAAGACTGCAGCATGTTGAGAATGCCACAAAATATTTTATTTGTAGCATGTCACCAGATGACCCATGTCACAGCATGTAGCAAGCGCCATAGTCACATGTAGTTGCCACGGCGTAAATCAGCCTTTACAGTCAGAGAGACGGTGTTGCATTTGTGATAGGGATCTCAGTAGGGTCAGTCAAAATAAATCTCACTTCTGAGTTCGATAGCTCCAGTTTTAGACATTAGATAAATTTGCATTACGTCACTCATTACACCTCATAATATCACAATAATTGTTGAACAAAGTAAGAGATATTTGGCAATTGTCAAAAAATCGAATTACCGAAATCGAAAGTGAGATTGCATGTTACATGAGCGATATGCAGGTATGTGAGCTAAATGCATAACCAAAAACTAAATGACGCCCCGAAAAAAAAATTACAGGCATAATCGTGATAGTAATTTTTTCGAATATATCGCACTTGGAATTCCTTACTTTATCCTAAAATTTTGTATTAGTATTAAGGAACTCTGCTGGAAATGTTTAATTTATATATCTAACCATTGATAACTTCATTTCCTGGCGATTTATCTTCTTACAATTTTATTAGTAATTAAGTGTACTTTACGTGACCGTTCCATAATGAAATTACCATAATATGTTAGTAAGCAGATATTTACTCTATAATTAAAATAAACATCTTGAGAATTCCATCCTCCAAGACCCGTGGACATATAGCTTCTGCTTCTACTTCTTCGCCAGCTATCTATTCATCTGGAGCTGGATTCCATAAACAATGTTGTGATGGATAAAAAACAGTATACCTTCGTTTATTAAAATAATTTCAATTAGTAAGTAGAGCGACTTGTTTGTGTTTACTCATATATATTAAGTGTAGGATTTAAATGAGTGCTTTACAGCACATGCTCATTTTACAAGTTAATTTGCTTTCGAAATATTATATAAAGTGCAGCGGTAAAGGTATAAAAATGAAAGGTAGCTTGTCGGTATATAATAATAATGTCATTCGTGATATTAAGATATTGTGTGTATAACTGTGATTAAAATTATGCATTTATTTTGAAACTTGACATATCAGGGCTTAATATTAACTGGGTCGATGACTAAAAAAATCGACAAAATGTTCTTTCTCAAAAATGGATAGGTTCATTTCTAATCTATAGTGAAATATGTTTTACCCAACATTTTGGTATTATTAGTAGTATCGCACTTATGGATTAATAATTCTAAAGACTGTATACGTTTGCTTGTAGAGAAGCGAATGAAAATATTCATTCGAGTTAAAGAATACTAAGTCGTTATACTTCATCATCACTTGCCTTTTTTATTTTAACTATAAAGTAAGCAATTTGGTCTCAAGAAAGACTTAAGTATACCGTTAACTTAAGAATAATATCGTTTAAGTGCCTTTTTTATAACGTGTCTTCTAGGTTTAGATTTGTATTTCTATCAACGCATGATAGATACATTTTAGTGATAGTATTTTGTGTGATATATTTTGTCAGCGGCATTTATAACGTACCCAGTATTATAACAGTGATTAATAATAACTATTAATTATAGAGCGTACTTTTAAGACTGCATGCTTAATTTTTGTGATATAATTTGTGTATCTCATTGTTTGGATCTCATATTATCCAGTAAACAAATTGGACTGTGTAGTGTTTAACGTGTTTTTAAAATAAGTTTTTTTATACCTTTGTATTACCATTTTAGCCAGCTTACTTGTATTTTAGGGCTTTCAGTGTGTGTTTTACCATGATTTGATTACTTTTGCCAATAAATTTATACTCAATATGACTATATTTTTAATATTGTTATTTCCTCTCTAAAATTACTAGTTCTTAGTTCACTACTTAAATTGAGCCACTAATTTGTAGTGTTCTAAACTGAAATCAGTAACATTTTTATTTACCTCCATGTTAGAGGACGGGGTAGGCAACGTGCGAGCAATGCTCTATATTTTTCTTTTGTGTTATGACGGACTGTTTTCAATTTGCGTGTGAAAAGCATCAGTCACGTGTCTATTTTGCAGGTGGATTAATCCTGCTAACCCATTTCTTGTAGAAATTACATCAGACCATGGATATTGCTGCTAGCTTCTAATAGTGTCCGTAGTTTTTTTTTGTCTTATAACGCC